GAGAGAGAGGGAGACAGCGTGAGCAGGGGAGGGTCAGAGAGAGAGGGAGTCACAGACTGAAACAGGCTCCAGGCTCTGAGCTGGCAGTCAGCACAGAGCCCGACGCGGGGCTCGAACCCACGAACCGCGGGATCATGACCTAAGCGAAAGTCGGACGCTTAACCGACTAAGCCACCCAGGCGCCCCTGCTTTCCTCTTATAAGGACCCCGGGGACTGCGGAGTCCCCTCTAAGATTCCAGGACCCCTGCCCCATCTCAAGATTCTTAATCACATCTGCCAAGTCCCTCGTGCCACGTAAATGAACACTCACAGGCCCCAGGGATTAGGATGCGACATCTTTGGGAGCCAGTGCTCAGCCTGTTTTTATCGTTTTACAGATGGGGACCCTAAAGCTCAGAGATGTTACATAACTTCCCCAGGGTCCCACAGCTCAGGCGGCAGAGCTGGGATTTGAAGGCAGCCTGGTTCCAGAGGCCATGCTCTTACCTGCTCTCCACAAGGCATCCCTGTGGTCAGGGAGTCCTGAGTTCAAATCCCAGGTGGGCTTCCTGGTAGCTGGGTGACCGAGGGGCAGCGCCATCGGCTCACCTCCTGGGCTGGCGGGAAGGGACAGAGAAATCGGAACTGTCTGGGGCGACCGGGTGCCTTAGTTAGTTAAGTGTCCCATTTCGGCTCAGGTCATGATCTAATATAATAGTGCATGGGTTCGAAACCCGTGTCAGGCTCTGCACTGACAGCTCGGAGCCTGGAGCCTGCTTTGGATTCTGTGTCTCCATCTCTCTCCATCTCTCAAAAAAATAAATAAACATTGAAAAAACCCACCTCTCTGGGGCTTGAGTTGGTGTCTTGGCTCCAGGAGCTCAGTCAGGGACGCTTAGCTGACCTTGGGATTCTTGCTGGGCGACCTTGTCCTCACTTGTAAAGTGGAGATAAAGATGAACGCTTTAGTTGCTCAGAGTTCTGGGGAAAATGCTCAGTGCCCCAGGGAGGGACTCTCAGGATCCAGCTCACTCTTAATCTTATCTTCTGATCTCCAACAGACATTCAGAGAAGTGCTCTTAAAGTTTCACTTTTTTAAACATTGTAATAGAGACAGATACAAGCAAAGACAGAATCTTATTATTTTGTAACAGAGATACAAGCAAAGACAGAATCTTACTGTACTTCGCCTCTTAGCCAGGGAGAAGCGGCCCACACCACCCCATGACACCACCCTTGGGTCATCAGATTGGCAAAGATTAAAAAAAAAAAGTGATAAAACGCAGTGTCAGTGAGGCTGTGGGGAAACGTGCACTCTGGGCTTGCTCGAGGGAGTGGAAGCTGGCACAGCCTCTTTGCTGAGCTGTCACCATCGGAGGTGGCTTTGCTGTCAGGTGGATGAAGTCTGAGCTTCTCGATGCCTCGTCTAACGGAACCAGGACTCTGGCCAACACCTGAGAGGTGCCTTTGACTTACACTTTTTGATTCTCTTTTTATAAAAGGGCTTCCGACTTTGCATGGACGTCAGGCCCTAAACAGCCTGTGTCTGCCTTGGTTTATTTTTCCTGAAACGTGATAATGGGAATTAACTTTGGACCTGGGTTTTGTCTTCGTGGAAGCTATAATAATGGTCTCTAGGTTCTGGGAATTATTTTAGTCCTTGTGTTAAGCCCTTAGTGTATTAATTTGTTACCCCATTCAATTGTGTGCCACAGGCCCGGCAAGGAGGTGCTGTGATATCTACTTCACAGATGAGGCTAAAGTCCGTCAGGCTCCACCATGACAGTGCAGAGCCTGCTTGGGATTCTCTCTCTCCCTCTGTCCCTCCCCTGCTCATGTGCTTTCTCTAGAAATAAACATTAAAAAAAAAAAAAAAGAAGGATATAGTTGGGGTGCCGGGGTGGTTCAGTCAGTTGAGCACCCGACTTCGGCCCAGGTCATCATCTCGCCGTCCGTGAGTTCAAGCCCCGTGTCGGGCTCTGTGCTGACGGCTCAGAGCCTGGAGCCTGTTTTGGATTCTGCGGCTCCCTCTCTCTCTACCCCTCCCCACTTGTACTCTGTCTCTCTCTCTCTCTCAAAAAGAAATAACCATTAAAAAAAGATATAGAATCCCAGTGTACTATTTATGCTTTTTGCTTTAGAAGGGGAAAAAAAAAAACCAATGGTAATAAAGAGGCACCCATGCATCAACAAAGCTTTTGGGGACAGCTTACTCTGTACGGGGCACTGGGGACCCAGCAAGGTATAAAAACAGGCAACAGAGTGGAGGAGACACAGAACAAGATAAGCAAGTAAAACATCTGGTAGTTTATAGAGGGTGAACATAAAATGGAAAAATAAAGCGAGGAAATAAACAGGGATGGGAGGTTTTGCAACTTTCTAACTTTCTGTCTAACAGACAGTTTCAAGGACGGGCCCTAAGTGCAGGTGACATCTGAAAAAAGAAGTAAAACACTCAGTGCAGTGGTTTGGGGAGTTATAAGAAAATTCAGTTGTATGTATAGAGAAGGTGTGTGAAAGGCTGTTCACGGTAACCTTATAAGGGGCAAGGGATTCGCAGGTACTTGCACTTTCCACAATTTAAATCACAAAATAAAATTACCAGCAACCTCAGGGCATCCGGTCTGCCCGCTTCAACTGTGAATATCTTTTATCACTTGTAATGATAGGGTTATCACGTCGGAGTTTTGGTTAGTGCATGTAACCCTTGGGACTCTGCAGCCAAATCAAGCGGATCCCTCAGTGAGTGTCTTCCAGGTCCTGGAATACACTAAGCTCACTCACCACAGGGCCTTTGCACAGGCTGTGTGTGCTCTGCCTGGACCCCCTCTCACCCTAAGCCCTCTCCTCCTGCCCCTCTGCAAGGAATCTCCCACATTTCTGTTTTGGTTAGTTCACATTTACTTGTGCCTTCCCTGGGGAGGCAAGGGATGGGGTAGGCCTTGTCCATCGCCTTGAGTCCTCCCCTCCCCAAACACCAACCCCTCCCCCTGCCCTCTGGACGTGCACTCGGTGCAGATTTAGAGAATTAAAAATTCTATACGTTGTAGGGCGCCTGGGTGGCTCAGTCGGTTAAGCGTCCGACTTCGGCTCAGGTCATGATCTCACGGTTCGTGGGTTCAAGCCCCGCGTCGAGCTCTCTGTTGACAGCTAGCTCAGAGCCTGGATCCTGCTTCAGATTCTGTATCTTCCTCTCTCTCTGACCCTCCCCTGCTCATGCTGTCTGTCTCTCTTCTCTCAGAAATAAACAAAATAAAAAATAAAAAAAAAAAAAGAAAGATTCTATTAAGTAGTATTTTTATTATTATACCATCATAGGGATTNAAAAAAAAAAAAAGAAAGATTCTATTGGTTGAAAATTTAAAGCTTCTACAACCAGCTGACTCTAAGGTGTCATTGGCAGGGCGAGGGGGGTCCCCCCCCCCCCAGCACAAGCCTGGTGGGTCAGGCTTCCAGGAATCATTGCCCAGTGCCCGGTACCTATTTGCTGGAACCAGAAAAGAGGAAGCAGATAGAGACTAGAGAGAGGATGTGTCTCCTTTTCCTGGAAGGAGGTATTCCAGAACACCTCTGAGGACCACCTAGACACACTCACTCTCGCTTCCACCCGTGGCGGGGGGGAGGGGGGAGGGGGGGTGCGGCGCCTTTAAGACTCCCGGAAACAGGCCGGCAGGACCGGAAGTGATTCTTTTCAGTTCCCCTCTTCACGTGGTGCGGGCCGGAAGTGACGCGCGCGGCCCGGGAGCTGCGGACGCGGAGGCCGACGGAGCCGGAGTCGAAGACGCCGCGGGGTCTCCGTGACAGGTGACCGGAGGAGGGGGCCGGGAGCGCGCCCGGAGAGGGCGGGGCCTGGCACCCCACGTGGGGGGACCGGGAGCGGGTGCAGGGGGAGCAGCCTGCCGCTCGCGGAGGCGGGGTCAGAATACTCCGCGGGGGGCGGGGACAGGACACCCACTTGGGAAGCTGGAGGGACGCTGGCGGGGAGGGACGGAGGCGGGTAGGCGGGACCCTGGCGGGCCAAGTTGTGGGCGGGGCCGGGGCGTGGGTGGGCAGATGAGGGTGGGGCTGAAAAGTTGTGTCCGGGCTGGGGGCGGGGCCAAAACGTTGCCGGGAGAACTAAGGGGCGGGACCGGGACGCGGGCAGAAAGTGCTGGGGGCGGGGCCAGAAAGTTTTCCCAGAGCTTGAAGTGGGTTCAGATCGTCGGCCCGGAAGTCAGGGGCGGATCCAGAGGCTGACGCGAAGGTGGGGCGGGCCCAAAAAGTTAACAGGTGGCCGGGGCCGTGGCCAGGGTGCTGGCGGGAATGAAGGGGGTGGAGCCAGAAAGTTTTGCGGGAGCCAGGGGCGCCGTCCGATGGTTGGTACGAAAGCCGGCGAGGGAGCCAGAACCCTGACTGAGGGCGCAGGGGGCGGGGCCGCGTTTTGAAGCGACGAGGCCGGGCTGGGAAGCAGGGGGCGTGCCCGGGAGTTTGGCCGGGCGAGTCGGAGGCGGGGCCAGGGAGCTGGCTGGAAGGCTGTGGGCGGGGCCCGTGTAATAACGCGAGAAGTAGGGGGCGGGTTCAGGCTATTGCTGGAGTTTCGGGGGCTGGGAAAGTAAGAAGCTTGGGCCAGATTTACGAGGCGCAGGTGGGCGGGGTCTGAGGCCTAGCAGGTGGGGCGGGGCCAGAAAGTTGGTCCCGGTGGGGGGGGCGGGGCTGTGGCCGTGGCCTTCGGCACTCGGTGGAGGCTGGAGCTTTTCCCCGGAAAACCGCGCGCGGGCCGGGAAGTTGTGTTCGAGTCGTGGCGGGGGAGTATTCACTGGGGAGGTTGAGCCAGGTCCGGGAAGTCTCGCCATTGGGTACCAGACTTGCTTTCGGGATCTTGTGGAGGTGTTGGGGAGACAGCGGCACCTCTCTCGGGATGCTGGAGACGTGGGCTTAAGATGTTCTCCCAGGGTCCGGGCAGCCTATAGGCGTGGGGTTCGAGCTTGTTTTGAGTGTGGGGTTATGGGACGATTCTGAAACGTTCCTGGGAGAGAGGCGGATTTGGAGTGTTCACAGGGATGGAACAGCACCAGAATGGACACGGGAAGGTGGGCCTAGAATTTTCTTGTACAGGTTGGGGGGTGAGAGGATGTATCTGAAGCTCTCTGGAGATGGAGGCCTGGGTTAAAACTCCCACCACTGGGGTGCGGAGGCTGGATTAGAACCTTCCTTTGGAAGGGAGTGTTGTTGTCTGTTTCCTTAAGCGGTGGGGTGGGGCCACAATTTTTCCCTAGGTGGGTGTGACCCCAGTGTTTAAGGAGCAGGTGGGTGGGCACAAACTACGGGAGGTGGCAGAGTTCAAATTTGTCCTGCAAAGGGGCAGGCTGGCGCTTTAAGAAGACGGCCGTGGAAGTGAGGGCTAGAATCCCCGCGGGGTGCAGGTGTTAATGTGCATATGTGTTTGAGAGGCGTGCCCAGTATAGGAGAGGTGGAAGCCGGCTGGGGAGTCATCGGCCTTCGCGCTTCTGTTCCCTCCGGCCTCAGGAACCCCTGGTACTGTGTACAGAGTCTGCGGGGGACGTTTGCCGGGACCCTGGCCCCACCTAGCCAGTGGCATGGTGAGATGGAAAGTGGGGTCTCCAGAAAAGCTTTGGGGCAGGGAGCCTGGGACGGTGCGGGGGGGCGGGGGGGGGCAAATCTCATCCCCTGGATCGAACTGCGCTGGGGTGGGTGTAGCTTTCTCTTGCTGTCTCTCAGCTGTCTCCTCGTCGCAGTCGGCCACACTGGATCTGAAGTCGAAGGAGGAGAAGGATGCCGAGTTGGACAAGAGGATCGAAGCTCTTCGGCGAAAGAATGAGGCCCTCATCCGGCGCTACCAGGTGCCCTAGCCCCGCCCTGGGAGACCCCACCCCCTCTCCTCCCCGCAGTGAGTTTCCCTCACCTCTCCCTTCCTTCAAACCTTTTCATGGCTCCCCATCACTCAAGATAAAAACCAAAGGCCTTAGCTTGCCATCGCTTCCTTCATTCCACCCACTCATCTTTCATTCATAAATAGTCGCCAAGGTCTTTACTGCCGGGCTCTGGGCTGAGTGCTGTCGGGGATACAGCTGTGACTGAGGCAGCCCTGGGCCTGACCCTCCGGAGTTCACCGCCAAGTGGGGGCACAGACCTTTCTTCAGGCAGTGATGACCCAGAATGGGCTGGGCTGGGGAGCTCAGGGGTCTGTGGGAGCCCAGAGAGGGCTCCTTACCCAGTCTGGAGGATATTAGGGAGGGCTTCCTGGAGGAGAGGATTCTGATACCTGAAGGGTGAGTTAGCTAGCCGAAAAGAAGAACCAAACGTGTTTGAAGCAGAGGGAATAGTTTGTGCAGAAACGTGAAACTTAGGGGATGACTTGGTGACTCAGCTGGTTAAACATCCTACTTCGGCTCAGGTCGTGATCTCAGGGTTCATGGGTTTGAGCCCCCCCTCCTCCCGCTCCCTGTTGGGGATCTGTGCTGACAGTGTGGAATCTGCTTGAGATTCTCTCTGTCCCTCCCCCTGCTCACTTCTTGCCTCCCCCCCCCCCCAATAAATACATTTTAGGGGAAAAAAAAAGAATCTTCAAGGCGGAAGGTCAGTGGAGGGATCTTGACCCAGGGAGGTCGGCAGGGGTCATGACAGAGCTGAGAGTTCGGACGTTTGCTCCAGGGCACTGGGGAACCTTTGAGGGCCTTGAGCAGAAGTGGGATCAGGTCCGCGTAGCTTTTCAGGAAGAGCGCTCTGGCTGTGGGTGGGATTGCGGAGCCCAGAGACCCGGGAGGAAGCTGAGACAGGGACCTTAGCGGGGAGGGAAGGACAGGGCTGTTGTGAGGGCTCTGTGACGGCCAGTGGTGGGGGGGCGGGGAGGGGAGGTGGAAGGGGGGCCAGGATGAGGTCCAGGTCCTTGTACGTAGTGACAGAGCAGGTGGTCACTGAGTGGGACTGTCCCTGAGAAGGAGAAGAGACATGGAGGAGGAGCGGGTTTCATTTCTTCATGTTTCATGCATTCGTTCACTTAAAAAAAAAAAAAAAAGCATGTCGAGTTTCTGTTGTGTGTTACGAAGCGTCCTAGGCTTGGGGTGTATGTCAGTGATCAAAACAGACACGTGTCCCTGTCGTCGGGCACGTCCTGTTGCAAAGGGGAAAGCAGATAATAACCACAATATGTGTGATGCTAGGTATTTGAATGGGAGAAGGGGCAGGGGTGTGGTTTCTGTAAGTGGGTCAGGGAAGGCCTCTCTGAGGAGGGGGCATTTCAGGAGCAGAAACCTGAAGGAGGTGAAAGGCCGAAGGCTCTCAGGGGGCAGAGGGGGCAGCAGGTGCAAAGGCCCTGAGGCAGGACTGAGCCTGGTATATTCTAGGAACACTGAGGAGGGCAGAGTGAGCGAGGGGGAGAGGAAGGGAGGGAGGGTGGCAGAGGAGGTCAGGGTGGTGAGGAGGCCAGACCCTGTGGGGCCCCATAGCCTGCGCGGAAGGCTTCGGCCCTTGCCCAGAGATGGGTGCCACGGGAGGGTTCTGAGCTGTGGGAGAGCATGGCACGGTTTGGGGAGGAAGACGCTGAAGTGACCAGCTTTCTTCTGGAGCTCAGGGAGAGGCCTAGGTGGGGGCTCGTCTTGGGGGCCGTTCGAGGGGGCTGTGGGAACCCAGCTGGTGCCCGGACTGCTGCTGACACCCCCCCCCCCGCTCATGTTTGCTCCTAGGAGATCGAGGAGGACCGTAAGAAGGCTGAACTCGAGGGAGTGGCGGTGACAGCGCCCCGCAAGGGCCGCTCAGTGGAGAAGGAGAATGTGGCCATTGAGGTGGTGAGCTGCACACCGAGGTGGGGGACTCGTTGGGACAAGGGAAGGGGGTGCGATGAGACCTGAGGCTTGAGAGCGCCCCCCCCCCCCAGCTGCCCTCTGGGCTCGGGTGTCCCCGGCTCCTCATCCCTCTACTCGTCCGAGTGACCGCACTTTTTCTCCCTTCCCTCTTCCAGGAGAAGAACCTGGGGCCCTCTCGGAGGTCTCCTCGGCCCCCGCGGCCCCCGGGGGCCAGCAGGGGAGGCCGGGCAGGCGTGGGCCGGGCGGCCCGTAGCTGGGAAGACAGTTCTGGGGAGCAGCCTCGAGGGGGAGCTGGGGGCCGCGGCCGGGGGTCCCCTCACCTCTCTGGGGCTGGAGATGTCTCAGCTGCCGACCGCAAATCTAAGGTGGGAGCCCGGAGTCCTCGGGCTGAGGCTCTTCCTGTCCGTTCCTGTCCTCAGATGGACTGTTTTCCACTTGTCTGGCTTCCTGCGGCTGTGTTCTTCATCCCCTGTGTCGGCTCTGTCCCTCCTCTTCCTTCCCTCGCCCTAACCAGTGTCGCGCGCCCCTCCCCGTGCTTGTGTCTCCCCTTACGGCGCTCTGTCTGGTGCACGCCTGCCCACCCGCCCTCTCTTGCCCCGTCTCGTCTGCTTCTGCCCAGTGCACACGCACTCACTCTCGTTCGCTCTCTCTTTCCGTGTGTCTCGCTCCCTGGATTTGTTCATGGGGAGCGGTGACGTTCTTACTGGAACCGCTCAGCTGCCCCAATGCGGAGGTTGGCAGGCTGGGGGGCCGTTTGGCCGTGTGGCTCAGAGCCCACCATGGACTTGAGCTCGACTTGGTTCCATTAGTTCTCTGTTCTTGAGCAGCTCCCTTCCCTGTGGGAGCTTGGGGGAGGAATGGAGTCAGGTTGAAAGATGAGCCTTCTGTGAACAACACGCAATTGAAAGCCTCAGAGTAAGCGCCGGAGGAATGTTACTTGCGAATGTTTATTTATCTACCTATTTATCTTAGAGAGCAAATGATCGAGGGGCAGAGAGAGAGACTCCCATGAGGTGCAGAGAAAGTACAGAGCAGGACTTGAGCTCACGAACCTTGAGGTCGTGACCTGAGCCGACATTGGGTGCTTAACTGAGCCACCCGGGCGCCCTGTGGATGTTTATCCTGTGTACATGGTCCACTGCCGTCACGTAAAGACCGACTGGTGCCGTTGTTCACACCAGGTGGAAGCTTATTCCTGGCCTGTGTGCCGAGCCCTGGGGACGCAAACGTCCTCTCCTGCAACTTGACCGGGTGCTCCTTTGACACCCCGTCACGAGGGAAGAAGGAGAGAATGGATCGTCATCCACGCCATCTGCTGAGTTACTGCTGTTATTACTGTCCTTAGTGCTGTGGCAGCCACGGCGCATTGGGGTCCCCAGCTCCCTCCCCAGGTTCACTTTTGCCCAGGACCTAAGATCAATTACTGCCTTCTGGTCCTCCGGCGTTGGGCCATGACGATCCACGTGAAGGGCTGTCTGCCAGAGGCTCCCTAGAGACCAGGAGCCTAGGCCTTTCACTGGGCTCTGGTCACGAACAGCCCCTCTGCCTCGCACAGACCCAAATTCCAGATCTTGGAAGGAAAGCCGGCGTTCAGCACGCACCTGCTGTTGGCACAGACAGTGAGGTCCCAGGAGCCCCCTTTATCTGTTAGCCCAGGAGCCGAGTCCCCAGGTGGCAGCCGGGGCCTCTGAGAGCAGGCCTGTGTCCGGGAGAGTGTCCCGCCTGCCCTGGGTGCCCTCCCGCCCGGAGGCCGTGAGCAGTGGGCTTGTGCCGGTCTCCCTGAGGTCTCCCCTCCCTGACAGCGGGGGCCTCTGTCTTTGTTCTCACCGCGTAGCAGTGGGAGGAGCGGCGCCGGCAGAACATCGAGAAGATGAATGAGGAGATGGAGAAGATCGCCGAGTATGAGCGCCACCAGCGGGTCAGTGCCCGGCGTCCCCGCGGCGGCAGAGCACCCCTCCCCCCCCTTCCCCGCAGCGTGCCAACCCTGTCCCCCACTCCCTGTGCCCACAGGAGGGCGTGCTGGAGCCCAACCCCGTGCGGAACTTCCTGGACGACCCCCGGCGGCGCAGCGGGCCCCTGGAGGAGCCTGAGCGGGACCGGCGGGAAGGCAGCCGCCGGCATGGGCGCAATTGGGGGGGGCCCGACTTCGAGCGGGTGCGCTGCGGCCTGGAGCAGGAGCGGCAGGTGGGTGCCAGGCACCTTCCTGCAGGCGGGCCGTCGTTTCTGCCACGGGGCGGTTCTGGTGCAGCAGGGTGGGGGGTGTGGGGGCAGCGTCGACCAGACAGCAGGGAGGTCACGGTCAGGTTTTGCGCCCACCGCAGCGCCCTCCCCTCACAGCTCTCTGGCCTGTGTGGGCCACGTCTCCTAGATCAAGTCAGAAACATTCACTGAGACCCGCTGGGTGCCAGACACGGCCTTAGGTGCTGGGGCCGAGTCTTTTTTTTCTTTTTTTTTTTTTTGAGAGAGAGGGTGCAAGTGAGCAAGGGGCAGAGAGAGAGAGAGAATCCTAGGAGGAGCAGAGAGGGAGAGAGAAGCGGGGCTCGTGCTCACCTGATGTGGGACTCGAACTCACGAGCTGTGAAATCCTGACTTGAGCGGAAGGCAGGTGCTTAAGGACTGAACCGCCCAGGCGCCCTGCAGTTGCGTCGTAAACAAGGCAGAGCCCCTGCCCTAAAGACGTTGATTCTGGTGGGAGCTACGTAAACGGAAGTATAGTGGACTCTGCGGGGAGGGGGCGTAGAGGACGGAGACGGGGTGCAGCTTCAGGGGGAGACCCGGGATGGCCTCTCTGCGGAGGCGCCGCGCGAGCTGACTGCGTTCTCTCCGCCCTGTCCCCTCCTTGTGTGACCTTGAGCACCGTGGGCATGGGGGAGAGGCCGGGGCCCTGACTGCCTGTGTGCGGGGCGGGGCAGGGCCGCCGCGCCGGGCTGGCTGGCTCGGGCGACATGACGCTGTCCATGACGGGCCGGGAGCGGTCGGAGTACCTGCGCTGGAAGCAGGAGAGGGAGAAGATCGACCAGGAGCGTCTGCAGCGGCACCGCAAGCCCACCGGCCAGTGGCGGCGGGAGTGGGATGCTGAGAAGACTGAAGGGATGTGAGTGTCTCTGGCTCCTTGACCTTGAGCCCTGACTTACCGCCTTTGTGCCCCCCTCTGGCGCCCCGCCCTGTGTGTTGGGTTCGAGGTCGCGGTGCTTCATAACTGCCACCAAATGCACATAAATCCGCTCCTTTCCCGCGTTCGCAGGTCATCCAGGTCTGGCTGGTCCACGCTGCAGGCTTGGCTTCTCCGTGCGCGGGGAGCTCGCTTCTGCGCCGTGGGGGTCGCTGTGGGGTCAGGCGCAGGGGAGCAGCTCTCCCGAGAAGGGCGGGTCCCGGCATTTACACTTGGCTCCGTCAGCAGCAGGCCCGGTGCCCGGTGCCCGGTGCCGCTGGGGCCAGAGATGAAGCTGCCTGTAGACGGTGCTGCAGGGCCGGCCGGGACTTCGACGCCGGGAGGGCAAGAGGAATTGCTAACAGTGATTAGCGATTTGCACCCCCCTCCCTCACCATCCTGTCCGCCACCAACCCAAACCCCGCGTCCGGTGGCCCTTGTCCTTATCCGTCTCCGTCCCTTTTCAGGTCCCAGGGAACATCCAGTTAGTCCAAGTTAAAGCGAAGCTGTACCCTTGTGTCACGGACGGGAGACGAGCTTCTGCACTAGGCCGCTGGCCCACGGCGCTCTTAGGGCTTCTCACGTTTTTAATGTTATTTCTTATTACCTGTTAATCTTTATTTTTGAGAGAGAGTTTGAGCGAGGGAGGAGCACAGAGAGGGAGACAGAGTCCGAAGCCGGTTCCAGGCTCCGAGCTGTCGGCACAGAGCCTGATGCAGGAATTGAACTCATGAACCGCGAATTCACGACATGAGCCAAAGTCAGATGCTCAACTGGCTGAGACAGAGACACAATCCAAAGCAGGCTCCAGGCTCGGAGCTGTGGGCACAGAGCCCAGAGCGGGGCTCGAACCCATGAACCGCAAGGTCATGATCTGAACTCAAGTCGGACGCTTACCCGACCGAGTCCCCCAGGCGCCCCCGCAGCTGCAATGTTCGTGCCATCCCACGCCCTTTGGCGCTTTGCGGGTTTTCACGCCTGTCCTGGTTATCGCTGGCAGCGGCTACAGAGAGAGGGTGTTGGCTGCGTGCCTGGTGGTCTGAGCCTTTATTTGTGGATTGTGAGCCCAGCTTGTGCAAGCGTGAGACGTACTCTGCACCGACACTGGCGGATCTTTGTAAGGTGTAGGCGGCTGGGCTTTTTGCCGGATGGGCTCAGGGTTAGGAGTGAGAACGTGATTGTTTTTCCTGGAGCCCCCAAAGCAGCGTGCAGCAAGCCGCAGTGCGAGGGTGTGTCGATTTTGGCAGCAAACGCTTATTGAGTCCCTCCTCTGTCGTGCCAGGGGACGGGGAGTCGGGGTGACGGGGCTACGGCAGGGAACCAAAATGCCCCTGCCCTTCAGGAAAGGCGGACGCTGGAATAGATCCAACGGCAGGTCACGAGGAATGAGAAAGAAGGGTGTGGAAAGGGACGGAAACTCTGGTCTTAGGCTTAGGTGATGTGTGTATAATAATACGTGATTGTTTCAGACCAGGATTTAGGAGCGTCTGAGCGGAAGCCTGGAGGCAGTGAGGGTGCAGGCCGCCGAAAGGTCTGGGGAAGCGTCCCCAGGGGCAGCAGGTGCAGAGGCCCTGCGGCAGGAGCGCTGTGTGGTAGGAGTGATAGCAAGTGAGGCCTGACGGGAGGCTGGGGATCGTGTGCTTTCGAAACTTCTGTTTTAGAGGCCAGACGCTGAGTTCTTTCTGCATTTGTCACTGTCGTGTCAAGTTGGCCTCTTGTCCGTCGCCTGATCCTGTCTTCTCCTCAGTGACCCCCTCTGATTGAATGTCTCTCCTGGGATCTTGATTTCTGACCCTGGTCCCCAACTCTCTCTCTCCCCGCCCCCCCTGCTCCCACTGTTCCCCCAGCTACCTGTTCACCCCCTTCTCTCTCTTCCCCAGGTTCAAGGACGGCCCTGCCGCTGCCCTCGAACCATCCCACCGCTATGGTAAGCGGGTGCCCTTGGGTGGGGCGGGGCTGCTGGGCCAGGCGTGGGGGCTTAGTTTGTGCCGAGCTGCCCCCCCCCATCCCTGACCCCTCCTGGGTTCTGTTGCAGATGATCAGGCCTGGGCTCGGCCCCCCAAGCCCCCCACTTTCAGGGAGTTCCTGTCCCAGCACAAAGCAGAGGTCAGCCGCAGGAAGAGGAAGAGTAGCCGACCGCAGACCAAGGCGGCCCCTCGTGCCTACAGGTGGGGGCACCCTTCCCTGGCGTGTGCGCTCGCGGCAGGGCCGTGCGGCTCCCTCCCTGCTTGTTCTGACTTGTGTGTGTGTGGCTTTGTCGCCTTCTCGGTCCTGGCTCTTCTCCAGTACGAGCCTCTCTGTGGGTCAGGCTCTTGCTTTTGGGGGAGCTGGGGCCTTTCTCTCTGCTTTACCCCCGTCTCTCCCCTCCGTCTGTCTGTACCTGATACCTGGGGACCCCCCCCCCGAGTGCTCCGGCATGCTGGGGCCTCCCCTGCAAACCGGCAGCCCCCTCTCACCTGGAGTTGGATTTTGCAGCCCTTCTCTGGGGAGGACCTGGAGGTGGGGGGGGGGCCCTTTAGCCCGCCCGCCTGGGCCTCACCCCTGTCCTTGGCCCCTCCAGTGACCATGATGACCGCTGGGAGACGAAGGAGGCAGCGTCCCCAGCCCCTGAGGCCCCACAGCCCCCTCCACCAACGGAGAAGCCCTCGCAGGTGAGGCGGGCCTTCCTCTCCTGGCGGGCGGGGTGGGGGTGCTCCGGTCCACGCCCGCTCCCCCCAACCTGCCCGGTGCTCCCCGCAGCCACTGGAGACCCCAGCTCCTCCTGCCCACCGGCCTCCAGAGGACGAGGGGGAGGAGGACGAGGGGGAGGAGGAGGACTGGGAAGATGTGAGTGAGGAGGAGATCGAGGAGGAGGAAGAGGAGGCCATCGAGGAGGAAGAAGAACCAACCCAAGACCACCGCCCCCAGGAGGCTGAGCCCACCGGAAGCCCCACCGGTGAGCAGGCTGCCAAGGAGCCCCCCAGGCCAGAGGAGCCCCTGCTGCTCCCCCAGGCCCCTGCCACGCCTTCTAGCCCCTTCTCGCCCCCCGGGGGCCACCAGCCCGTGTCTGACTGGGGTGAAGAGATGGAGCTGAATTCTCCCCGGAACGCCCACCCGGCCGACGCCCTCCCCCTCTCTCCGGGTGAGGCCTGGCCTTTTGGAAATGCATGAAGCTGGCTGCCTGTGTGTGTGCTGGAGGGGTGCGCTGGCTGCGGTGGGGGGCACCGTCGGGGCTGGGCCCCCCACCCCACCGGGACCCTGTGTATCTGCCGCCCCAGTGGCTAGGGAGGGCAGGATGGCCCATGGCTGTCTGTGGAATGCCTCCTCCCCCCGACCCCCCAGATCCTGCCCGCGCTGGCACTCAGGGCCACAGAGGCCCCTCCCCAATAAAGAGTTCACGTCCTCAAATGATATTCCCCAGGTGTGTCCTTGAACACCTCCCCCCACTCCCCCAGGGCCTTCTCTCATGGTGGGGGGCGTAGGGGCTTGACTGGGCCTCCCCCTTCCCCAGGAGGTGACCAGCCAGCCCCTGCCTCCCTGGAGAGTGGGCCCCGCCTCCCAGGAACCCCGGAAGCCGAAGAGGAAGGGTCTGAGGCAGCCTCAGGTGGGGGAGTGGATGGGGCCCCAAGAGATGGCCTCCTTCCTCTTTTTCTCCCCCTGGAGCTGAGGGGAGGGCTTGTGGGGAGGAGGATAGAGTGGAGCTGGGGGTTCCGGGAAGCCGCCCGCCTGCGGCGGAGCTAAGTGGAGGCCCTCTGGGTGGGGCCCTGGGAAGAATTTTGGGGCTGAGCGGGTGAGTTAGGATGGGATTGCGATTTCAGGCCGACCCCAGGGGTTGGGGGATGAAGGCTAAATATAATAGGCTGGGGCCAAGGGGTAGGGCCGAGGGCAGGATTAGGACTTTAAATAGGTCAAAAGTAAGAATGGAGAGGGCAGCGGGCTCCGGCTCGGGGTTAGGCTATGGGCGGGGAGTTTGGGGGTCTGACCTAGTCGAGGAAATCAGAATGGAAATGCATTTCCCGCCTCTCCACCTCCATCCCTGCGATCCAGGTTGCCAACCAGGGGCCTCCCCAGGCGGGAGATTAGAGTTTGGGGGCAGAGCCAGGTCCAAGAGGGCGGGCACTCTCGGCGTCAGTTTAGGCCCGTGGGGGGCGGGGGCAGCTGGAGTCGGAGAGGACAGAGTTGAGGATGGTGGCCGAAGGCAGGATGTCTGGGGGTTTCTCGTCTTCGTCTTCGGGCCCCGTGCTGCCCAAGTGACCGTCATTACTTCCTCGGTTGTAAACAGGGTTCCGCCGGGGCGCGCGCAGCCTGTGGGGCCCCCTGCGATGATTAAAGTGAGGCCGAGGCCCATAAACCACTTAGCGCAGGGTGACCGAAGCCAGGCTCGGTTGGGATCAGGATGGAACTAGACGGGGTGGAGGGTGGGCGAGACTGTGCCCTCCACTGACTGCCCCCTTCTCTCCCCCAGAGGCGGGCACCGAGGGCCAGGAGACCGCGGAGATCACCGACTTCCAGAGGGTGCGTTTCTGCAAGGTGGTGGCGGCCGCTCCGCCACCGGGGGCCGCCCGCTGACCGCGCCTGCAGACTGCGGCCTCCGCGCTCTGCGCTGCCCTCCCGCCGCCTTGCTCCTCTGTCCTCTGCTTCCGTCCCGCTCCAGCCAGGAGAGGGTTAAATGTAAGGGGGGCGGAGTCAGGGCCAGTGAACGGGGTGGGACCAGGGCAGTAGTCGAGTCTCACGAATGGGGGGGGGCACCGTGGCACCGGGAGGGTTGAGACGCCCCCGAGTTACGCACCTAATGGAAGCCATGGTGGGGGCGAGGTGCCAGTCCCCGGGCCTAGATTCCCGCCTCCTGGAGTTTCCATCTGGGGCATGGCAAATAGCCGGTGACTCTCCCGCAGGACGTGCAATTACCCGGCCACCGGCCGTTTCTAATTAAACGCAGTGCTTCCGCTAACCTTTGACCTGTGTTTCTGGAGGGCAGGCTGGGTTGCTGTGCTTGGCGGGCTTTTCCGTGGCGGAAGAGGCGGGAGGAAGGGGTCTTCCTTCCTCCCCTCCCCTGATACGTCTTCCCTCCCCTCCTCTCGCAGGCCTCCCCGAATTCCTGAAGACGCTGCTGGGAGGGGACTGAAGCTTCCCCGCCTTGACGGGGAGGGGGCGGCAGGAGGGGGTTCGTCTGGATTTCTAGGCGGCGCTCTCTCCTTCCCGGAGACCGCTCTGGATCCCATGGCTTTAGGGAGAGGGAGAAGTTGAGGGTGGTGGGGAGGCCTTGGGGAAGGGGCGTGACTGGGTTACGGGGCAGAGCTGGAGCTTCGGGGCGTGGAGTTCAGATTTCTGGACTCGAGGTACGGAGGAGGTGCCGCCAAGGGCGTGGTTAGCGTGCCTGGGCGGGGCCACCATTCTGGCGGGTGGGGCCAGAGCGCCGGCAGGCCTTAGATGTGGGAGGGGGCCACGACAGCCGGTTTAGATGCGAGTTCCTAACGCGGGTGTAGGGGGCAGCTCTCGGTGGAGGGCGTGATCACTACGGTGCTAGAGCCAAGGGAGCGAGGCGGCGGGAAGGTGCGGAGCCTGGAGTAGAGAGTGTAAATCCAAGGAGAGGAGCGGGTGGCTTCGAATGCTAGAATCGAGTGTGACTCAGAGAAAGGCAAGTTAGAAGCGGGGTGGGCCTGCGGCCAAGGCGGGGCGGGGTTTGTGAGGCCTGAACCTGGTAAGGGCTTGGGGCTCGGAGGCTGGGCTGGATGCCTGGGAGAAGTCTGTATCCCGAAAAGGGACGGGGTTGGGGCGCGGGGAGGAGGCCAGGAGGAAGGCGGGGATAAGCGCTGGGCGGGTTCGCCTGTCCGAGGTGTGGGCGTCACACCTACGCCTCGCAGGAGTTGACCGCTGTATTTGCAGACCTTGGGCGGGGTCAGAGCTAAGTGGGGGTGGGGTCAGAACGCTAGTTAAGGCTTAGCTTGGTAGTGGTTGGCTGGAGCCTGGGGAGGGGGTGGGCCCAGGACGCGGGGAAGGCCCGCCCGCGCGGGGGCGTGCTCATTCTGGCGGGGGCGGGGTTGGGCCAGGTAGATGTAGAGCGCGGGGGCGGGCCCAGGGCGCGGGGGCGGGGCCTGTGCGGGCCGCTGCGCCGGGCGGAGTGGGCTGCGGGGATGCGGGGCACGAGCTGCGTGGGCGGCGGCGGCGAGAGCCCGGGTGGTGCCGGGCTGAGCGAGGGCCCGCGGGGCCGCTGGCTGCGCCTGGCTCCTGTCTGCGCCTACTTCCTCTGCGTCTCTTTGGCCGCCGTGCTGCTCGCCGTCTACTACGGTCTCATCTGGGTTCCCACGCGGCCCCCCGCGGGCCCCGCCGGCCCGCCGCCCAGCGCGCCGTCCGCTCCGTGCGCCGCCCGCCCCGGCGCGCCGCCCGCCCCGGCGCCCGCCGCTGCCTCGATCTCCTGCCTCCTAGGAGCCCCCGGCGGGCCGCGACCCCAGCTCGAGCTGCCGCGCAGCCGCCGCCGCCGCCGCCACAGCGACCACAGCCGCCGCCCGAACCACCGCCAGACACCCGGAGAGAGGCCGGAGGCCGCGGGGGGGCGAGGACCCGGGTAACCACCCCCCTTCCACTCCAAGCTGGATCTCCGGCCCTCGAGAGGCAGGCGCCGCAGCGGCGGATGCTCCGTACCCGTTTGGGCCCGGGCTCCCTCTTCAAGACATTGCCCAGGTCTCCGGAGCGTCACCCTGAAGAATGGGGAGCGAAGGGGAGCCGGCTTGGGGCCTCGCTCCTCTGCCGTCAGGCGGCTCCACCATCAGGCTCCTCTGCCGTCAGGCCGGGGTCCTCCGCCATCTGGCAGACCCTATCCTGACCTCTGCCTTCTGACCCCCTCCGTAGGATTCTGAGCACAGAGCCCGCCCTCCTGCTCCCTGAATCTCCGTGTCCGTAACCCCGCAATAAACTCCAGCCCCAAATGTCTGGTGCTGTGTTTGTTGTATTGTTTTCGAGATGCCTCTCTTTTCAAGTTTGTGAGGGGAAGGCCTTCCTGGCGTCCGATCTTTGGGTCTTTTACCCAGGGTGGGTCCTCCCCTGACCTGGGTGGGCGTGCTTTGCTTTTCCCGTCGCCAACACGTAGCCTTTGGGGTGGGGAGAAGAGGCATCTCGGCAACAGGGCAGTTGAAGGTCAGGCAGTGTGACGGACTTCCCAGCCTTTCTATGCTTGGGGCAGAAGACAAGGGCCTCTGGAGAGAAGCAGACGGTCGGCCCTCCTGACCCCGCCCAGAGGAGGGAGAGGGGGGAGACTTCTCACAATCATTGGGGTCTTCGGGGTTTGGGATTATGATTCTAGTGTTTCGGAGAAGCTAAGTTCCCTGAGGTGTCAGGATGCTGCCAGGAGGGAGTGGGGCCTTCTTCCTGGGGACTGAGAGATGAGGATGGACAGTGGTGGCGGTGGGCTTCTCTGCCTCCCTGGACATCACAGAGCAAGTTACCCAGTACTGTGCTGCCGTTGAAGGTTCATACAGCCTCTGGTCTGCAGTGCTCCTGGTAGGCAGAGAAACTCCCATCCTGCCCCAGGAGTCAGAAGTAGTTGCGTCTATTCCCTGCCCCCTCCCAGCAGAAGACTGAGGCCTGGCTGGGAGAAGGGCACTGGACTCTAAATGCAGGTAGTGGTTTTCTCGCCTAGCCTCCTCCCTCGAACTGGAGACTTTCTCAGGTGAGTGAAGCTGAGCCTCTGGACAGGGCCAAGAATGTCAGTCAGTCTGGGTCCCTCCCTTCTACCCACTTCCCAGAGGATGTCTCCAGACCAAAGGGGGAATCAGGGAGCCAGCCCCCCCCCCCCCCGGCCTTTATGGTCAACATAGGCCACTGACTTTGGCGCCAGGACGCCTAGATCCAAATTCCAGCTCTTCCTCCTCCTAGCTGTGTGGCCTTGGGCAGGTTCCTCAACCTTCCTGGTCCTGTAAAACGAAGATGAAGATAGTACTTCCAGAGTTTCTGTGTGGATTAAGTAAACCAGTGATCTGAAGCCTTTCCAAGAGCATCGCATGTTCTTTCCACTCACCTCTGTCCCCCAGGGACTTAAAAACCACAGTTTGGATCCCCACAGATGTCGAGTGCACCCAGAGCTCTGGACACCAGCAAGTGGTGAGTGCGAGGGGGGACCGGCTGCCCCTCTGGACCCTCTGGGCTCTTTCTTTTTTTTTTTTTTTAATATTTTTATTTATTTCTAGGAGAGAGAGAGAGAGCGTGAGCAGGGGAGGGTCAGAGAGAGAGGGAGACACAGGCTCTGAAATAGTCTCCAGGCTCTGAGCTGGCAGTCAGCACAGAGCCCGACGCGGGGCTCGAACCCACGAACCGCGAGATCATGACCTAAGCGAAAGTTGGACGCTTAACCGACTAAGCCACCCAGGCGCCCCTCTCTGGGCTCTTTCTATCTCTTTCTAGCTTCCTGCTCTCTTCTCCCCGGCTCCCTTACTCCCCATCCCTCAGTTTCCCTTCCTGCCTTTGTGTCTCCCTCTCCACCCTGCTCGCTCCCCCTTTTCTCGTTCTATCGCTGCCTCTCTGTCTCTCCCTGCCATCTCTCACTGTTGTCTCTGCCTCTGTCCCTCTCTCAGTGCTCTCTGACTCTCTTGTGTCTCTGTCGCTCTCTGCTCCAACTCTCCCTGGGTCTCCTCCTTCTCTCCATTCTCTCCCCGCTCTTACCCCACCCTGCTCTCCCATCCCCCACCCCCCTTCCCATTTCTTCCCTGGTTCAGCCCCCAGGGCCGTATCCCCTCCCCTGTCTTTGTCTCTCTTGCTCATCTTTCCGTCTCTTTTGGCCACTGTCTCTTAATTTCACACTTAACAAACACCTAGCATTTACTCTGCGCCGGGCCATATCCTAGGCCCCCAGGTCACAGCGGTGACCGAAACAGGCCAAGCTTCCTGCTTTCAGGGGAGTTGACATATTACTGGAGAGACAGACAAGAAGCACGATGAGTGAATCAAACATGTGTGTCTGCTAACAAGAAGCACAAAGGAGGAAGATGATCTGGGTGACAGGGAGTGACGGGGTTGCCGGTTACTGGGTAGATGCCCCCCAGGAGGGGAGTGCAGGGCATGCCCATCTCCGGCGGGAAGAGCGTTCCAGGAAGTGGGAACAGCTAGTGCAGTGGCGCTGAGGCTCAGGTACTTGCTTGGCCAGTTCAAGGAACCATGAAGAAGCCAGTGAGTGAGCAGAGAGAGTGAAGGAGAGAGCAGGAGAAAGAGAGAGAGAGAGAGAGAATGGGGGGAGATTGTACAGAGCCTCAAAGACCCATCGTGAGGTCTTTGGCTTTTACTTTGAGTGAGGTATAGCCATGGGAGGTTCTTGAGCTGAGGAGGGACAGAGCCAACTTCGGTGTGAACAGGACCCCCTGATTGCCGTGTGGGAATCTGTAGGGGGTGCGAGGTGGAAGCTGGGGCCCAGGGAGGAGGCCACGGCCATGGTTCAGGCGAGAGTCGGTGGCTAGAAGAAGGTGGTGGCCTGGAGGAGAGGTGGATGGTCAAAATCTGTGTGCGTGTGTAAAATACACATGGCATGAAAGTTACCATTTGAGTCATTTTATTTAAAAATTTAAAAATTTATTTTTTTATTTTTTTATTTCTAGGAGAGAGAGAGAGAGACAGCGTGATCAGGGGAGGGTCAGAGAGAGAGGGAGTCACAGATTGAAACAGGCTCCAGGCTCTGAGCTGGCAGTCAGCACAGAGCCCGACGCGGGGCTCGAACCCATGAACCGTTAGATCATGACCTAAGCGAAAGTCGGACGCTTAACCGACTAAGCCACCCAGGTGCCCCCCGAGTCATTTTATTTTAAATTGTTTTCTTAACGTTTATTCATTTTTGAGAGGCAGAGAGAGCCACAGCATGAGCAGAGGAGGGGCAGAGAGAGAGCATGAGTGAGGGAAGGGGAGAGAGAGACACACAGAATCCGAAGCAGGCTCCAGGCTCTGAGCTGCCAGCACAGAGCCTGATGCGTGGCTCGAACCCAAGAACTGTGAGGTCATGACCTGAGCCGAAGTCGGTCGCTCACTCAACCGACTGATCCACCCAGGGGCCCCAGCAGCAGGGTCCCTTAAAGGGAGAGCTGAGCAGCGCCCTTGGGTGGCCCTTGGGTGGGTGGCCACCACGGGGACCTACACTGTTTCTAGTTCTTTCAGGGCTTAGGGTCAGCCTCATTCCCAAGGGGCTTTTCAAGGTGCCTGCAGATTGAGGGACCTGCGAACCCATTCCCATCCCTGAGAGAGCGGGAGGCCTGACCGGTACTGGTCCCTGGAAGGGCTTTCTTTCGAGTTGATTGGAACTCTGCAGGCCACATGACAAACCTGGCCTCAATCCCTGTGGCGGGGGCCTGTCGCTTGGTTAAGGCTTGGGCCCAGCCACTCCCTGGCGAGTGAAGGCGCGATTACTCTAAAAGTTCTGGCCAGTCAGGACCCACCCCTGGATCAGGCCAAAACCAGTGGACAGGGTTTTGCAGTTCAACTCTACGCTGAACTGCAAGGGCCGGGACTTCCAGGAGGGGGCGCCGAAGAGTCGTCGTCCTTCCGGAATGGAATCCAAGATTTACAATCACAGCAGAGAGAATTTGTACGTACATGTATGGTGGAGTGGGCTGCTAGTAGGGTCCCCTGTCCCTTATCCACAGTCCCGAATTCCAAAAGACTGTGACAACAGCAAACATTTCTTTGGGGGTAGTTTTGGTGCTGTCTCACATGGTGGCAAATCAACGGAGTTATTTACACTGTTTAAAAAAATTTTTTTGGGGGGGCGCCTGGGTGGCTTAGCCGGTTAAGCGTCCGACTTTCGCTTAGGTCATGATCTCGCGGTTCGTGGGTTCGAGCCCCGCGTCGAGGTCTGTGCTGACTGCCAGCTCAGAGCCTGGAGCCTGTTTCAGAGTCTGTGTCTCCCT